GGGGTTCTGGTGCAGTCATGAGTCTGTGAGGGCACACGGGATCTGAGGGGAGGGACTTGAAGAAAAATGGCAGAGAGCAACTGCAGGGGACATTTCCTGAGTGTGGCAGTGGATACAACCAGAAAAGGAGAATTGGAGGGAACCCATGTGAGGGAGATTGAGGGGCTGAGACAGTGTGGGGTGTGGGTGAGAGTGGGTGAGCCAGGGCCAGAGCTGAGACCTGGTGCCTCTCCCTGAGCCATCAGTGCTCTCTCTCAGGTGAATAAGGTCCATTCCTGGGCTGCAGACATGGCTTGAGTGGTAGAGCACCTGCCTAACAAGTGCAAGGCCCTGAGTTCAAACCCCAGTACCAGAAAAACAAAAACACAAAAAAAATCCATTCCTGTTCCCCAAGAGCTCAGAGTCAAGTGGGGGAAAGAGACACAAATGACAAAAATGATGAAAGATCCTGATCTTACTGGTGAACACTGTCTGCTGGTCACTGTGTCCTTGGTGTGAACCATCTCATTTAGCAGTCTTGCCTCCCTGGGAGTCTGAGCTATCAGTAACCCCTTTTGGATGTGAGGAAACGCAGATCCACTGATCTGGGAGGCTGAGTCACTTGCTGAAGGCCGCGCAGCTGGCATGTGGTGTACTGAACGTGACAAAGGTATCAACATAGGGTGCTCTGGAGGCTCAGAGGGTTCGCTCTGGGAAGCACTTGGCAGGAGTGCTTTTGGTTGTCACACCAGGGTGTGTGTGTGTGTGTGTGTGTGTGTGTGTGTGTGTGTGTGTGAGAGAGAGAGAGAGAGAGAGAGAGAGAGAGAGAGAGAGAGAGAGAGAGAGAGAGAGGGAGGGAGGGAGAGAGAGGGGAGGGGGGAGAAGAGAGAGATCTAGTGGTAGAGGCCAGGGATACTTCTGAACATCCTACAAAGCATAGGACAGCCCCTACAACAAAAAATGACCCAGCAGCAAATGTCAATGGTGGGGACACTGAGAAACCCTGGGGAGTTTCTGGGAGGGATGCTGGTGAGACTCAGAAGCAGGATGGTGGCTTCAGACAGAGCAGATATATGAGGGTCACTAGAATCTCACGGGAGGACTGGATAAAGTGGGGTGAGGAGCCCCATGTGCCAGGCAGAGGAGCTAGGACTTTGTCCTGTGGCTAAAGCTAGTTGTCTACATTGGTAGTTTTAAAAATTAATTTGTTGGGGCTGGAGGTGTGGCTTAAGTGGTAGAGCATCTGCCTAGAAAGCACCAGCTGCTGAGTTCAAACCCAAGTACTTCCCCCCTGAAATTAATTTGTTTTGTGAATAAAATGTTTCTGTAATTCAGATTCCAAAAAGTACAGAGGTAAATCTTCCTCTCCTGCTCTGTGGCTGCCCTATTTTCCACCTGGGAGGTGACAGAAGTTACCAGTTTCTTCTCTGATAGTTTTGTCTTTCTCTTATTTTATTTGTTAAAAAACAGCACATTGCAGGATTAAAAGACATGCTTATGAAATTATGGTGCAGAATTGGGTCATGACTAGGTCACTCTACTGGATTTGAGGCAGGTGATTGGTGAAGGTTATCGATATAGCCTGGCTGGGGATAGTAAGGATGGAAGGGCAGAGTCAGTGGGGCAGGTAGAGAGGAGGGTACAGGAGGGCTTTGGTAGAATCTGGGGGAAGGGGAGGTGGAGGAGGAATGGGAAGAGTCACGGGCAATGGCAAGCTTTCCGTCTGGGGACCAGGGCAATGGAGGGTGGGCACTGGAGGGTGGGGGAACTCCTAGGATTGGCTCAGGTGCTGGGGTGGCAGGTAAGGGCAGGATGAGAAAGAGGGGCAGTGGGATGTCCCAGGAGTGGCATCCCCAGGCAGGAGGGACTCTGGGCTTTGGTCTGCCCAGCTCCTGTTCTTCTCTGTGGATCTTCTTGCTGAATCCCCATGGATGGGCAGCACCTTCCCAGCTGGCTTCAGAGTGGTGGGGATCCTTACAGCTCCGTGGGCCTCAGCAGTAGGCTTGCCAGATAAAATATAGAATACTTGGGTAAGTTGAAATTTCAGATAAGCAACCAATATTTTTGTATAGGTATATCTCAAATATGACATGCTTTTGTTGTTTATCTGAAGGTTGAACTTACCTGGTCATCCTGTATGCTCACTTGATGCCTGTGGCAGCCCTCTGCAGTGACATGCATGTCCCTGAGTGTGAGTCCTCAGGGCTTTCTGAGAATCATATCAATACTCATGTTTAAGCCCCTCTTGGAATAAAAGAGAGACAATGGAGAGGCCACAGGAGAGGACCCCCAATTACTCGTGTGACAGCAGTGGGCTCGCCATGGTCAGAAGCTCATCAGGCACCCTGTGGGTGGGGTGTTCCCCCTTTTTAGGGCCTGTCTCTGGAATCCTCATAGGCCTGGAATGGAGCTTGTTACCGACAGGTGATAGAGGGTAGTTAACTGAACAAACAACGGTATGGAAGACTAAACGAGAGTTTGGAGGCCTCCAAAGTTTGGCTGAAGAGATCAAGAGGAATTATACAACTGCCTTCTGCATTCAGAACTTGAATGGTGTGCAGAGATGATAGCTCTTAAGTCTTCTTGGGGGCACAGAGTGGGGAAGGTGACATCAAGAAGTAGCATTAAGGTTGCTTAACATGTGCAAGGCCTTAGGTTTGGTTTCTATCCCTGATAAAAATGCAGTGTTAACCTTGAGGCTTCTGGAATTTTCTCTGCGGTCTAGCAGTGAAATCTTGGACAAGACCTTTAAAGATCCCTTTACAGCAGAAAAGTAACCCACTTTACAACTAAGTGGGCAGCCTCTGGTCATTTCCCACTGCCCTTGGGTGGATGGTGGATGGTTATGGGCACAAGAGATGCGGCACAGTCTCCCTTTGCCGTCTAGCCCCCGCTCATCCCTTTCTCGAGAATGTCAAAATGGGAGCGAGAAGTCCACTGTTACAGAAATAGCCTCAAATCTGTTTTTATTCCACTACTGACTCACAAATCACACGTCACATTTCACCTGTCACATCTAAAGGCCTGGGTATGTGCTGGGGACCTGCCAAGAAGCCCCCAGGGCCTCAAAGGTGGCAGTCTCTAGATACCAGTCAGGGTTGGGCTCCAGGTCAGTTCTGGCACTGCTAAAGTGCAGTTAGCTGTGGTCTGTGGGAGAGAGCTGGTGCCAGGAGAAAGTCAGCTGTCACTAAGCAGACAGCTGCATTCGGCAGACATCTCTTGAGAAGAGAAGCAATGCAGATAGGATCAGCCCTTGGAGAAGTCACCCCTTACAGTTATGTGTGACAGAACACAGTGGTATGAAGCACTCACTTGTGGGCCTTGGGCTGAGGCAGGCTGGGCTCTGGGATGTCCCAACAGATAGATCTGTGCTCTCCTGGAGCTCATTCCCAAAGCTTCTTGCACTAATTTAAACCAACCACGTGGCCCAATGGGGTAGGCTCAGAAGCAGGCAGGTCCCACTGAACCCAGTGGGACTGGAAGAGCTATCACTTGAATTGACCCCTCACCTGCCTCATCACTCATCTCCAAGTCCTCTGCCTTTCCAGGGGCCCCTACGGCATTGCTGCTTTGATATTTCCCTTCCATGTCTTGTAAAACTACCAGTGTGGCCCTTAGTTTCATTTAGGTAGAGCTGTACCTATATTTTGGCTTAACTTTTGTTCCAAGGGACAGAATGTGAAGACGATGTCTTTCTTCTGCTGTTTTTTGTGTGTGTGTGTGTGGTACTGGGATTTGAACTCAAGGCCTACACCTCAAGTCACTCCACCAGTCCTTTTTTGTGAAGGGTTTTGTCGAGACAGGGTTTCAAGGACTGTTTGCCTGGGGCTGGCTTTGAACCTTGATCCTCCTGATCTCTGCCTCCTGAGTAGCTAGGATTACAGGAGTGAGCCACCAGCACCTAGCTTTCTTCTGCTGCTTTTACTTCTGCTGCCTGGACCAGGGCCTGGCTTCGTGCTCAGTTGCGGTTGAGTGTCATCTCAGGAATGCTACACTTATCTTGGTTGGTATCTGGGCCTTTGGTCAAATCCTACCCGTCAACTCCTTAGCTGTGTGATCTAGGGTCAGGTGGTGTCACTCTGTCCCAGCTTCGGCTTCTGTAGACTGAGACGCCCTGTGTTAGGAAGTCTGCAAAAGCACAGAAGGCTGACCCTGGTACATGGTGAGCACTCAGCAAAGATGTCCTGTTGTCCACTGGCTCACAGTGATAGCATTGGGAAACCCTTCATGTTCTCCTGGACACAGGCAGGAAGCATCTTCAGTCAAATTAGCAAAATCCTCTGGCCTGGATAAAATGTTGGAAGAATCTTACATCTGCATATTCATCTGTTTATATCTGCATAAGAAACACTTCCACTCCCTTTTGCATTCAGAATGACTGCTCTCCTAGAGTCAGCCAGAGGTCATGTGCTGTGTGCTGCTGCTCATGAGCACTGAGGAGAATCCCATCAAGAACTCAGGCCGGAGAAGAGTCACCTCTAGGGAGAGGTCAACTCAACACCCATTTGTCAACGCCCCCCACCACCCGCCATGGTGGACTATTAAGGAAATGGCTTCAGTCACCCCAGACCGCTCCTGCACCTCTTTCCTTGCTCAGAATGCCAAGCAGTGCTGTGATGGTGCAGGTGTTTCTGAGATTAAACACACAAAACACCTGCAGTGGCTGGTGGCTTCGCCTGCCTGGACAGCATTTAAGACTCTAGAGGAGTTGTGGCCAGTGGCAGCGTGGCAGGACAGCATTTAAGACTCTAGAGCAGTACTGGCCAGTGGCAGTGGCAGTCGGAGGGCTGGCCTTCCTGACCCCAAATGCTTTGCAGAGCCACACCAAATGGATACAGTCATGCTGACTGACCACTACTTAGGGGTCATGGATGCCTGAGAGTTTATGGCCAAGGCTGATTAGCTATGGGTGCAGGACAGGAAGGCCCTGGAATTACAGGGTTTTGGGGGGGGTATTCTCCAGGCTGCCCCCAAGCCCCGCTTCATGTACCTGCTGACATGGACCTGGTGTTTTCTTTTAGGTGTGCACAGCCTTCCCTGCAGAATGTGGCAGGTACAACCATGTGAACATGCACCATGGCTACACCAATGTGGTGGGTCTGGGGGACTCCAGCACGTGGAAGCTGCCTTTCCTCAATCGCTATGTGTACATGTTTCTTGCACCCCTCTTGATCCCCATCTTAACCCCGCTGGTGGCTCTCGGTGAGTACTGAGATGGCCTGGGTCTGAGAGCCCTACAAACACCTGACCCCTTTCCTGCTCACCCCACTTTCCTTCCCTTTCTGGCTTCTTGGAGGCTGCTGGTGCAGGAAGCTGGAAGCACTGAGATAGCCAGGCAGGGGAGAAAGAGCAGGGGACCTTGTCCAAGTCTGCTCTGCCTCTTATTGGCTGGTCACCATGGTAGGTAACTTGAACTAAGCCTCAGGTTCTTACTTGCTCAAGGATGGTGTGAAAGCATAATGAGGTCACACATGTAAGAGTGCTCTGTAGATGTCTCACACACATCACACCGCATGTTGTAAGTGTTGATATCACGGAGCGATACCACAGGGTGGAAGGAACCTTGACCTTGGTGAGGTTGCTTAAATGTCTGTTCCCTCATCCATGCAGTGAGTGAGCATACTTTTCAAGGGTGTTGTGTGGGTTCACTGAATGCACCCAGACCACTCTCTTTACCTTAGCACATTTGGCTACCAGGGAGCCAGCTCATGATGGCGCCAAACCTTGCTCACCCCTTACTCTGTGTCTTGCCTTTCTGGCAGAGCGGCTGAGAACAATGGAGCTGTGGACGGCTCTTCGGACACTGGGTCTGATTTCCCTGGGTCTTTATTCTCAGTACTGGCTGCTCCTGAATGTGTCAGGCTTCAAGAGCCCCAGCTCGGCACTGGCCTGCATGCTGCTCATCAGATCCCTGCTGGCCCACCCTTACCTCCACGTCAACATCTTCCAGGTGAGGCCTCCCTCAGCCCTGGTACTGCATTCTCCAAGGTTTCTGGCCACAGGTTGGACCCAAGACTCAGGGAGAGAGAGGACACCTGAGGAGGCAGCTGCCTTTTCTGGTCACCTTGTCACTCATGAGTTATTGCAGAATTTGCGTTTCCAGTGAGGACTTGGCTTCTCTTCACACTGGTAGCATGCTTTCATCCATGTGTGGATGCCCAAGTGGAGAAAAGTGGGGGCCCAGCCAATGCCATGGGCAGGCAGAGGAAGGAGCTGGAGATGGGGGAGGGTCTTGGTAGGAGGCCAAGGGCTCAGCATTCGGTCTGGCATTTCCATAGGGAGGCCTCTCTACTCCCCAATTTGAGAAAATCCAGGATTAGAGCTCCCTGCGCACCAGCCTGGCACAGCACAACTGTTGATTACTTGACTTCACAACTGTGTACCATCCTGCTTGTCCAGCTTGAACAGAAGCTTGTGTTTGCCTCCAAGTTCTCTACACCCAGGACAGTGTCTGGTGCATATGTGTCCAATGAGAAAGTACAAGAAGATGTGCAAACTTGGTCTTAAATGAAGAGTAGGGTTTTGACTAGTGAAGAGTGTGTGTGGGTGGTCTCTTCAGGCTGAGACAAAGGCACAGTGCCAGGGGAGCAAGTGAAAGGTAGTTGAGGACATTGGAGCACTAGGGGTCCAGCGGGTGCCAAGCCCTTCCTCATCCAGGCTGGAAGAGAGGCCCAGAGATGGGAAAGACTCAGCCCAGGGGATAGAGGGTCAGCATGGAGCTCCAGCCCCTCACACTTCTACCAGGTCCCACTGGAGTAGGGTTTGGGGAGCAGAAGAACCCACTGGGCCCCTCAGTGCTCAGTGAGGACCCCTGGGGCAGGAGGGGGCAGGTACGGAGCTGCCCAGGCATGACCCATGTATCTGTCCCAGCACATTGGGCTGCCTATGTTCTCCCGGGACAAGAAGCCGCGTCGGATTCATATGATGAGTCTGGGGGTGCTTAACCTGCCCCGCCTGCCGGTGCTGGACTGGGCGTTCGGCCACTCGATCATCAGCTGCCATGTGGAGCACCACCTCTTTCCCCGGCTCTCTGACAACATGTGCCTGAAGGTAGCTGAGGGCTGGGCCTGGGGACGGGATGAAGGGCCAGTCTGAAGGTGGACAGGATGAACCTCCAGGCCCGTCTCCCCACTGGCTTGTTTAGAGGACACCCAGGAAGGGCATCCTGAAGGACAGTGACACCTCTGTTTCAGATCAGAGACACCTGGGTTTCTGACTGGCACTAGTGTTACGGTAGACAAGTTTACTGAACCTCAGCTTCCCTGTCTGTCAGATGGGAGGAAAGAGTGCTCACCTTGAGGGGCTTTGACTTTGAGATGAAGAAACAAATCTGAAATGGTTAACACAAAGTAGGTGCCTGGCAAAAGGGAAATGTGCTCCTCACCCGTACGAAGGAGGCTGTCTTGCAGTAGGGAGCCCTGGGGAGGGTGGTGAGGAGACCCCTACCTACAGTACAGTTAGGGGAGGCAGGCGTTCTCTAACCTCTCAGCCCCTCGATGCCACCTCTCCTCTCCCCTACTTCCCCAGCATCCTGGGACAAGGCAGTTAAGAGCTGGGGCTGGGTGGAGGATGGACCCTTGGGATGGATGGGCCTGCCATGGTCCCAGCTCACAGGCTTCCCCCTATCTTTCTCAGGTGAAGCCTGTGGTGTCCCAGTTCTTCCATGAGAAGCAGCTGCCGTACAATGAGGACTCATACCTGGCTCGCTTGGGGCTATTCCTCAGTCGCTACGAGGAGTTCATGGTGCACGCCCGCCTATCACTGAGCTGGTGGGATTGCAGTGAGAGCTGGGTCCTGGCCCTCCTGCTGCTGCTGGCCCAGCAGGGGACATAGAGCATGGAGTTCTTGGGCAGACAGTGAGGGAGGGCAGCTCATGCCTGGTGTCCTGGGGATGGCCTGCCCTGTTTGCTTCTGGGATTCAAGGGGTGTTTGGGGAAAAAGGAATATTGTGGCTGGGCATCCTGGTCAGTCTAGGCCTCACCTGGCTCCAGCTCAGGATCCCTCCCTTACTCCGTCTGAGCCTGGATAGGGCTGGGGATGGGTGGGTGGGGGTGACAGAAGGTGAACTGGGATCCTGTAACTGAGTCACCTGGAAGGCAGGAGGGAGCAGAGAGAAGGGTCAGCTTCCCTGGTGCCCGAGAGCCACACACTAGCTTGCCTACTGTACCCTCTGAGGCTCTGCTCTCCAGGGAACACAGGGCACAGTAATTTTTTGGCAGACCTCCCTAGTTTCTCAGGCAGAGGAGCCTGTGCAAGACCCAGGCTCGGCAGTCCATAAGGCCCACAGTGGCAGTGAGAAGAGTGTGTAGTTTGTGGGGAAAGATCTCCAGGGGAAGCTAAGGGAATAAGTGCCTCAGGGACAGAGTTGGGCAAAGAGCATAAATAGCTCTGATTGTGACTTTGGCTATCTCTAGAAAAATCTGCTTTGTTCCATGATGTTTGGAAACAGTGATCCTGAGACAGAATTACTGGGAGGTAGCTGAGATTGGAGGGGTTATTAGAACTGGGTCTGGAGGGAAAAAAATGTAGAGCAGAGAGAAAGAAGGGAAGGAAGGTGGGGTGAGATAGAAGAGCTTGAAGCCATGGGCTGGGCTTGGCAGAGGAAGGGTGCAGTTTTGGCTGTGGTGGGAATACAAGGGAGCTACTGATGCCAGATCCAGGAAGAGGACAAGGGAGAGACACCACTGAGATCCAGCCCACAGTGAAGGGAGATGAGTGGGTCTGGAAGCTGCCCTCACCAGGAGCTGAGCTGATAAGAGCACAAGGAAGGGCCCAGGTAGAGGACAAGGGAGGGACAGAGAAGGAGGCCAAGTCTGTGACAGGAGGCCAGAGCAGTTAGTTTGTAACAGGATTACTCACCTCAGCACTACTAACAGCTTATCTTGATAATTCTTTGCTGCATGACCTGTGCATTCTATGATGTTTAGCTATGCTCCTGGCTTCTATCTACTAGATGCTGGGAGTACAGGTAGTGACAATCTCCAGACATGACCAAATGTCCCCGGGGAGGGGGGGGCAAAACTGACCTTGGTTGAGAACACACGGGCCATTTCTCTGAGTTGCATAACTGCCTTGTTTTTCAATTAAATCTTTGGATGGGGCGAAGGGCATGCTGACCTTGAGGATGGGAGGCTAAATGCCAGCAAATGGGAATCCTTTGGATGGGCAGAGGAGACAGATGCAGCAAAACCACCCTCTAGCCCAGCCTATCGGAGCAGCCATCTCTGGTGTCTGGCATGGCCCAGGCAGCGCTGCTGTACAGTCAGCACCTGCCTCTCCAGATGTTTTCCCTGTTACCTCTAGCTGACCCTCCTCTGGCAGAGTCCACAGCTCTTTCAGGCACCCTCTCCTCCACCTATGGGTCTAATGTGTTCCTACAGAGCTGCCATCTTGGGTTTCTTGAGGCCTGGCCTGGCAGGGGCTCCCAGTTGCTGATGGCTTCTCCATTCTCTTAAGCCTGCTCACACCTCTGGCCAAAGTTCCTTCATTAAACTCTCTTCAATCACCCCCTTTGACTATACCATCTGTTCCCTGCTGGGAGGCTCACTGATAGAGCAGAGTTTTGGATCCAAGCAGCCCTCTTGGAATGGAGGCAGGCTTGGCAGCCTCCCCAGCCTAATGCTTTGCTATATGTTCCTGCTGCTCTTTTGAAAAGGCCTTAAGGTCTGGGAGTGCAATTCATCAAACTGCTAACTCTCCAAATGAAAAACACAATGCAGGCTCCAGTTGTACAATCCAGGCTAATGATTAAAACCATCCAAATTCACAACAAATGACTCATTGTTATTTATCTGGGCCTGACTGGGCTATGAACAGCAGCTGGAGGCTCTGGTACCAGATCTGGCTGTACCATGGGCACCCCAGGAACAAATTCCTTGGTCATTTTGGAGCTAGATTTTCTGTGACTCTAAGGATGTGGGCTGGGAATGCCTGGGCCTTGAGAGATGAGGGAAGGTGTTAGGAGTAAATGGATACTTCTAGGGCTCTGCAGAGACCTTCAGTCTAATTTCAATAGGTATACGGAAGGTGACAATGACGATGATAATAACTAGCATTTGGAAGATAACATATGTCATCTAATTTTAATCTTTACAACAAATTAGCACTATTTTTTCTTCATTACAGATGGCAAAAAAAAGGGCTTGAGGAGGTTAAACTTCTCACTGTCGTACAGCTAATACATGGCAGAGGAGGGACTCAAACTCAATGTGTGACTCCAGGATCTACATTCTCAACCATCAGATAGGAAGCCCCGTAGAGCTTTATGGGTGTCTGATCCTGAATTTCTATCTCTTTTTTTCCATGTGAAAAAATAATGATTTTATCATTAAGCTTTTTTTTTTTTTTTTGCGGTACTGGGGCTTGAACTCAGGACCTACACCTTGAACCACTCCACCAGCCCTTTTCTTGTGATGGGTTTAATTCAAGATAGGGTCTCTTGAACTATTTGCCTGGGTTGGCTTCAAACCTTGATCCTTCTGATCTCTGCCTCCTGAGTAGCTAGGATTACAGGCGTTGAGCCAAGGGTACCTATCTAAATGCTTTTTTTTTTTTCCAGCACTGGGGTTTGAACTCAGGGCCTCATGCTTGCTAGGCAGGCGGTCTTACCACTTGAGTCACTCCACCAGCTCCTTTTGGTATTACTAGTGTTTGAACACAGGGCCTCAGGTGCTCTACCACTTAAGCCGTGCCAGCCCATTTTTTGGTTACTTTTTTCAGATAGGGTATTGTGCTTTTGCCTGGGGCTGGCCTTAGACAGAAGTTTTCCTACCTATGCCTTCCTGTAGCTTGGATTTACAGGTGCATGCCACCATACCAGCTTATTTGTTGAGATGGAGTCTTGCTAATTTTTTCCTGGGCTGGCTTTGAACCTCGATTCTCCTGATCTCTGCCGCCCGAGTAGCTGGGATTACAGACATGAGATATTTCAAGCCCCATTCAAGATAAATTGTTTATGAATGCCCATTGAGTGCCAGGCACTGCATGAAGCTCTGGGGATGAGAAAATGAGATGGGTCCCTCACCTTCATGGAGCTTATAGTTTATTGTGGGTATCGTCAAACTCTTTCTGGGTCAGATACATAGTGTTACGGACCTTATGGTCTCTGTCACCGCTACAAAAATGAACATGACTATGTTCTAATGAAACTTTATTTATTTTATTATTTTTGTTTTGGCTGTACTGGGGCTTGAACTCAGAGCCTGTAACTTGAGCCACTCCACCAGCCCTTTCTTGTGATGGGTTTTTCGAGATAGGGTCTTGAGAACTATTTGCCCAGGCTGGATTCCAATCTCAATCCTCCTGATCTCTGCCTCCTGAGTAGCTAAAATTACAAGTGTGAACCACTAGCGCCTGGCTATAAAACTTTATATATAGGGAGCCAGGTGCCAGAGCCTCACGTCTGTAATCCTAACTTGGGAGGCTGAGACTGGGAGGATCATGGTTCAAGGACAGCCCCACAAATACTTCAGGAGACCCCATCTCCAAACTAACCAGAGCAAGAGGGATTAGAGGTGTCGCTTAAGTGGTAGAGCACCTGCTTCATAAGCACAAAGCCATGAGTTCAAACCCCAGTCCCACCAAAAACCAAACCAGAAAAAACACAACCTTTCTTTACAGGGCTAGCAGCATGACTCAAGTGGTACAGTGAGCCTGCCTAGCATATAGAGAACAGAAGAATATTCACTTCTCTGTAGGCGAGAGGGGTAGTGACTAGTAGGGCACAGGGGACTCCAGACATTCAACAGGTTCTATTTCTCAGTGTGGGTAGTGGTAATACCTCATGATAATTCATCAAGCTGATTATGATTTGTACACTTTTATGTATGTTATACTTTAATAAAAATCACTAAAAGTGATGGGTATGTAATAAGTGTTAAATAAAAATTACAGGATGCTGTTGTTTTGGACTGAGCTTTTACACAGGGTCCCAACAGATCAGGCTACAAAGGAAAATGGAGTCATTCACCCTAAAGTCCACCAAGCTGAAATTAAGCTGCTTATCTGACCTTGGGAGAAATCAGGATTAGGGAGACAATGGCCAAATTCCCCAGTCAGGCCAGTCTCAACTGGCATGATGACATTCCCTCTCCTATTTAATTCTCACACAGAAGTAACCTGAAATAACCTGATGTTAACTAATCAGTTATTTCCCTCTTCTGTTTCCTTGTTCCCACCTTACAGGAAAATAACTTAATTGAGGAGTGATAGCATACAACTATAATCCTAGCACTTTGGAGGCTGAGACAGGAGAACTGCAAGTTAGAGGCCAGGCTGTGTTATATAACTAGATCCTGTGTAAAAAAAAAAGAATGCCAGGATTGTGTCTCAAGTGGTAGGGTGCCTGCCTACCAAGCACAAGGCCCTGAGTTCAAACCCCAGTATGGCAAAAAATTAATTAAAAAACTTTGAAGTCAGTAGCCCTTGGAAATCCTCCTGCCTGTCTTCTCAGCACTGGGATTATATATATGCACCACCATGTGTGGCTTTTCTTTCTGCGTTTTGACCTCCTTGGGAATTGAACTCAGGGTCTTGCACTTGCTAGGCAGGTGCTCTACACTTGAGCAGTGCCTCCTGTTTTCTGCTTTCTTCAAGCCCTTATTTGTCTATAAAACCGACCTCTTTTGTTCAGACCATCGAGCACTTTTATTCTATTTTATGGAATGCAGCGTTGCCTATTTCTGGAATAGAAAATAAACCCAGGATCTGGGAGTGCTGTTCAATGGTAAAGCTCACACTGACGCCCTGTGTTCAATCCCCACACACAAAAAAATCCCCTCCCCAAAAGCCAATTAAGATAAGCTTGTAATTTTTGCTAACATAAGCAATAATAAAATACAGGCGGGTGCTGTGGGGTTAAGAGGCCCCTTACTCCCAAGCTCCAAAGGTCCTTGAGGAAAAGAGGCATTAGGCTTATCGCGTCAGAGGTGACCATGGACCCTGTCCTTGGTTTTATTTTTGCAGTGCTGGGATTGAACCCAGGGCCTCGCCCATGCTAGGTCGCTAGGCAAGCACTTCACCACTGCGCTACATCCCAGGCCTTGTCCTTTAAAAAAAAAATATTGATAATTCTGACCTTTTAAAATGGGTGCATCAGCCGGGTGTGGTGGCGTACCCCTGCAATCCCAGCAGTCGGGAGGCTGAGACCGAAGGACTGTGAGTTTAAAGTCAGCCATGGCCACATAGGAAAAAAAACCCTCCAGGGTGCATTAAAATGTGTGTTATTTACCTTGATCACTGGGCTTTTTTTGGCGCCACCTTAAATTTGCACCCAAGGCGAGTGCCTTATCCTAGTACCGGGGACAAGCCATTTCCCCCACTTGTTCACCTGTAGTAGGGAAGGAAGTGTGACGGACAAGCTCCCCACAGGGTTTAATATGCTCCCTGGCCCGACAAGCCCAGCACCTGGCTAGAGACACACCAGCACAACAGCTGGAACCCAAGCAAGAAGCGACCGGAGTACAGCCAGCAACTCCTTTCCCCGGACTTCCGGCCTCTACGGCGACTACCCAATGGGCGGGGAGACCCGCTTGAGCTGGACTCATGATTGGCTGAAACGAAACTACGCAGGCAGGAAGACAATCAGAAGGCAAAGGCTCATCCATTGCGTCATCGGCGAGCGACGAGAGTCTCCCTAGCGGCTAAGAAAATAAGCTCCTTTTTAATTGGCTTCCTCCTTCTAGAGAGACTGACACAGCGATGGGGATTCGCTCTCCTCCAAGTCTAGGCTTCCGGTATTTGAAAGGAGGAGGGAAAACAGTCATTAAGTCTTTTACGGCCCGGAAGTCCAGGGGGCGGGGCTTCAGCGGTAGGAGGTGGGTTCTGAGTTGGGCCGCTCCTGTAGAGGCCGGATTCTTTTGGCAGTCAGGGTGGAGCCACAATACTGTGCTTTCGCAGAGCGAAGTTGTGGGGCAGGCTTTGGGGCGGGACCCTGGTGGTGGGCGTGTCCAGGGGGCCGGTCAGGGGGCGGGGCCAGGCCAGTCACTGCGAGCAGATTCGCTTGCTGGTTGTTCTTCCTTAGCTATGGCTCCGCGCTTTTGGCGCTGGTGGTACTGGTCGGCATGGCCTCGGATCCGGCCGCCTCCTGCCAGAAACACCCCGAGTAGGAGCAGGGCACTTTGGGCAGCATGGGAGCGCGGGAAGGCCTAGGAGCACTAAGTGTAGGGGTCGGAGATGAGCAGGGCTGGAGGGGGACGAGACTGGAGGCTCTCTTCTTGCCAGCGACATGGGGGTAGTAGGGGCAGGCGGGTGTCTGTGAGGTGAGATGTGAAGCCTCCAGGGTGAGACGCGGGTCAGCAAGAGTGAAAAGGAGAGACCGCCAGGTCCACATGTGTGAGACGGGATGAATGGGAGTGAGACGGGATGAATGGGGGTGACACGGGAGTCAGTGAGAAGTCTCAGGTCAAACACGAATATGAGCAATATAGAGTTCTGTGGCGAAAGGAGGGAAGATAGGGACGTGGTGGGGAAATCCACAGGAGTGATCCTGGGATTGGGATGATAGGGGGTCTGTGGGATCTTAGACGATTGGGTAAGGAACCCCATAAGAACAATCAAGTGTTATGCAGGGTGGTCCGTAGACAAGGGAGCTTCTAGGAAGGCCATCATTAGCAGCGTAGTAGGTTCATGGGTGAGGCAGGGCTCTGGATGAAGATACAACCTTTGGGGGTTTAGATGAAGTAAGGGCCCCTGCAAATGGCAAAGCTTTGAGGAACAGAAGGAAGGTGCAGGTGAGGGTGAAGCTTAGCATGCTCCCTCTCCTGTAGGACCCTGTTAGTTTGGGATGAGGAGAAAGTGTTGATTTGACCTTGCTTACCCTCCTTTACCTAGCCCCAGGCTTCTTCCAGCAGTTCTCCACGCAAGAGAAGATCCCCCAGATCTGTGTGGTGGGCAGTGGCCCCGCTGGCTTCTATACAGCCCAACACGTGCTAAAGGTAAGCCACCTCCTCCAGGCTCCTTCTTCATCATTCCCTGTTGCTCCAATCCTAAGGGAATGCCTTATCTCCTTTGGATTGTCCGATGAGGAAGGGGATTCCAGCCCATCTGCCTGCCTCCACACCTACAGCTCCTGCCTGAGGTCCACACTGTGAGAATCGTGTTTGATTATCATTGGTGGTCAGTGGCAGGTGGGCAGCTATGCCTCCTTGGCCAGGCACTCAGGGAGCTTATGTAGACCTGCAGGATGACTTTGTCCTTCCTTCACCTCCCTTCTTTCTCCTGTCTCCACTCATTTCCCAGCATCCTACATCTCAAACTACCCTCTCCTCAGCTTTGTGTGATGTTATCCATTGGGCTGTGCCCTCCTGTCCCACAGCTCCAACCCTCTCCCTGCCTGCATTCGCCTCAAGGCTTTCAGTGGCAGGAAGGGCCCCAAGGCTCTGGATTTACTTGAGATTTATATCAGCCCTTGAAACACAGGGAGAGGGGAGACCCAGATTGACAGATGAGACAGAGTCTTGGAGTGTCCATGGGGGAACAGAAGAAGGACAAATATATTAATTATACATATATGCAGATACTTAAAAGGTAGGCTTTCTATGGTGAAACTAGAAAACCTCACAGAGACTTCTGCTGAAAATTGACCCTGACTTACCTCCCAAGCAACACATGTGGCAGAGCTAATGACAGTGATGCAAGCAGATCAAGCCAAGCCAGTGGGCATAACAGAAGCTGTTTACAGAAACACGTGTGTTTGATCTGCACTGAAGGTCATGCTCGGGCTTTGGTCATATGTGGGGAGTCAGCCTGGAATGCAAGGCCATGGCCATAAGATGACAGCTTGGACTCTGGGATGGAGGCCAGGGAGCTCAAGGGATTGGGGAGGCCCTGCAGGGCTTTGTGTAAGGGGCACTGTAATAGCTGAGCCTAACATTCTGGGAAAGAGTAGGCCTTCCAGGCAGGATTTTTAGCACTCTCTCTGAGGACCTGGTATTAGTTTAGGGTCAGCACAGTGCATGTTCTTTCCCTGCCAGATATGCCAGGGATGAATGCAGAGGCCAGTTATGAGCTTCTTCCTGCCCACTGAGAGCTCTAGGCTACTGGCCCTGCTCCTAAGATGGGATCATGTGTGGCACCTTTGGGACAGTGGCACTGAGCACAGCATCTCCTAGCCTCCTTACATCTACCTGCATGCAGGTGTCTGACCCACTCACAGGTGAGCACCTGAAGGCTGAGGAGGTTGTCCACCCTCCCCCCACTGAGCAGGGAAGGACTGGGGCTTTCGTGCAGGAAGTCTGAACTAAGCTGGTCTGTAATTGTTCACCCCGTAGTCACTTACTGATGACATTGTGTTTCTGGCCAGTTTGCACTGGAACCATGGGGGTGAGCAAGACAGATGTCATCCCTGTGCTCCAGGACCTGACATTCTAGCTTGGAGGGGCAGATGACTGGTTTGCAGGATATTTTAGGGTTTACACTGGGGGTTTAGAGAGGGACTCTTTAACCCAATCCAGAGGGAGAGGTTTCCAGATTGCAGTCTAAAGGACAGCAGAGGGCGTCAGGTCAGAGGATAGAATGGCAGGAATGTCCCAGGCTCGGGGAGCTTTATTGACAAAGGCCCAGAGGAGGGAGAGAATGGCCATTTGGAGAAAGGACCAGTTGCAGGGGTAGGTGTGTGTATGAGGGTTAAGGAGAGGAGACCGAAGACTGAGGAGGTGAGTGGGGCCCAGATTACCAGGGGCTTGGAAGCCAGTGACCACACTGTGGACTTGGATGGACTTCTCTGGGTACTGCCACAGCCTCTCCCATGAGAGTCCCCTGGGAGACTTTTTAACATTTCTGGGCCCAGCTCAGATCTAATGAAACTGTAGCTGGGGCCCTGAGATCAGCAATTTTAAATAAATACCTCAGGGTAGGTATCCCCCTGCTATAGGCGATTGGCTTCATTAAAGACTTCTTAGCAAGGGATTACAGGACCTTTTGATTTTTATTTTTGGAGGTGCTGGGGATGGAACCCAGTGCCTTGTGCATACCAGACAACATTCCACCACCGAGGTATACTCCCACTCCTTGTTTTTTACTTGGAATGTACTCTCTGTCTTCAGAGTAGACATAGGCAAGGCTAGTGGTCTGGAGAGCAGTAGGGTAGGGGGAGAGCAAGGATGTGAGATTAATGGGCCAAGGTACAGGGGGTGAGCAAGGAACCCAGGCTCTGGCCTGGGCTCCAGGTAGATGAGGGGGAGCACAGAAGCAGAGGGGGAGGGTTAAGAGTCAAAGGACTTAGCCTTGTTTTTTTTTTTTTTTTTTTTTTTTTTTTGGTGGTGGTGGTGGTGATTGAATCCAGGACCTTGTGTATCCTAGGCAAGTGCTTCACTACTGAACTGCCCAGCCCTTTTGAGACGGGGTCTTGCTATTGTAGCATAGACTGGCTTAGAACTCAAGATCCTCCTGACTCCATCTCCTGAGTTCTGAGATTACAGACATGTACTACTATGCCTGGCAAAGGACTTGGTTTTCTTTGGATGGGTTGAGATGTGTGTGATGGGACAGCCAGGGGTGTCAGGTTTGGAGCTTGGGGGGAAGTCTGGGCAGGAGGTTGGGGGGTGGGAGATCACAAGCAAGTCCTTCAGAATTTGAAGTCACAGGAGGGAGTGGGTGAAACCTCCCAGGATACAAGTGTATGCCTAGGGGGAAGGGAAGGTCCCAGATCAGAAGCACCTCAGAGAATGCCCTTGTTAGAAGGGTAACAGAGGAAAGGGGGCCCAAGAAGGAACAGAGGGAGGGGAAGGTATGGGAGGAGAGAGGTTTTCTGCAGGATAAAGTCTGCAGTGTGAGATAAGGGGCATATGAAGGTGGCCTTAGAGAGAGCCTTGTGACCTTGTGTGGAGTGAAGTCCTTCATAGGTCTCCTCCCACACTCTGGATAAGATGGTGGAGCCTGATCTTGGAGCAGGGAGTAGAATGGAGGGAAAGAAGGGCCTTAACAAAAGCTGGGGGAAGAAGCTCTTTGGCCTGGAGTTCCATTGAATCAGGAGGCACAGTGGGTGCAGGAAGGGGGCGCAGGGCATGGCAGTGTCATCCATAGGTGCCCGACTGCTTTCCTCTGACTTGCTCCAGGCCAGAGTTTCATGCCATCCTGGACACCACAACCCTAACCCTATGCCTTCACCTTTTGAGGTGCCCTGGGAGGACAGGCAGCATGAGGCCACTGTAAGAGGGAGACTTTCCGAGACTGCAGTAGACCTCTTGCCATCTCTCTCTGCCCCCACATGCCCTAGCTGTGCCCCTGCCTCTGTCTTGATGGTCCCTGTTCCAATGGGATGATCTTGGAGGCTAGAACTAAGGGAGGTGTGAATTTCAAAGGCTGGTTCTCAGTCATCAGACCAGCTGGGAATTTCTAGAAGTGGTGAAGGTTTGGAGGATAGGGCTGTAGGTCACATCTCTGAGGATGAAGTTCCCTATGCTCAACTCCAGTGGAGGGGAAGCTACAGCCCACCTTAGTTAGCCAAATTCCTCACAATCTCCTGGTTGCTAGTCTTCCTTGAAGTCTGACCTCAGCTCCTCTGGCTGCTTGAGCTGCCCCAGGTCCCTTTTCTGGCCCTCTGGGCAGATGAGTCATTGAGAGGCACTCTTTCTTCTCACGAACAATCTCAGCCCACCAAGCTGAGCTCTTCTGCTGTGTCCAGGAAAGGGAGGCCCCATTGAGGCCTAGCGCTTCCATTCACTCCACCAATTGCACCTTCCCCCACAGCACCATCCCCAAGCCCACGTGGACATCTTTGAGAAGCAGCTTGTGCCCTTTGGCCTGGTGCGCTTTGGTGTGGCACCTGACCACCCTGAAGTAAAGGTGGGTCTCACTGTGAGTGGAAGGCGGGAGGCTCCTTGGCTGGATAAACGACATCCAGGCTCCTCTGTGGGGACATTGGGGTGAGGGAAGCACTGATGGCGCCAGTGCTGCCCTACCTCTAATTCCTCTCATTTGGGACTGCCTGGCAGAATGTCATCAATACGTTTACCCAGACGGCCCGCTCTGACCGCTGTGCCTTCTGGGGCAACGTGATGGTGGGCAGGGACGTGACGGTGCCAGAGCTGCGGGAGGCCTACCACGCTGTGGTGCTGGTGAGTGCAGAGGTGGCGGATGCAGAAGGGGCTGTGATAGACTGGTAGTTGAGGCATGAAGCTAGATGGAAGTTGCTAGAAGAGGCTGCTGGGAGCCAGGAGCAGTGCTGATGGCTCTGGGCCTCGGCCTGTTCTCTTTCTCAGAGCTATGGGGCAGAGGATCACCGGGTCCTAGGAATTCCTGGTGAGGAGCTGCCTGGTGTGCTCTCTGCCCGGGACTTTGTGGGCTGGTACAATGGGCTTCCTGAGAACCAGAAGGTGAGTTCAGGGATCACTCCTGCTACCTCTTCTTCCCCAGGCCTCAGCTGGGGCCAGGGCAGCCTGTGGATGCCAGAGCTAGGGGAAGAAGCAGTAAGGGGTGAGCTAAGGAGATGCCGGACATCCAGCTGACTGAGGGAGGAGGTCAGAGAGGAGGGCTTCTATGCAGAGGTAGGGAGAAGGAACCTGAGCCCAGGAGCAGGAAAGCTGGACTGTCCTTTCCAACAGCAGGGAAGCCCAAAGTTATGGGTGAGACGGTGTGAGGCATCTGCAGATTAGATTAGCCTGCCTGGAGCCAGGCCAGGGTGACCCATCAAGGCCTTTCTCCTCCAGCTAGCACCAGACCTGAGCTGTGACACAGCTGTGATTCTGGGGCAGGGGAATGTGGCTTTGGATGTGGCCCGAATCATGCTTACCCCACCTGAACACCTGGAGGTGAGTAGGGCTGGAGGGAAGGAGGTGGGGGTCACACTGAGTCAGGCTGAGCTCAGTGCCTATTTCTCCAGGGATTCCAGACAGAGGCCTTCTGAAAGGCATCTCTGTGAGCTCCATCTGAAACTATTTCCCCCTTCAATTTTGGCACTCCAGCTATACAGGCCTTTAAAAAAAAAACAACACAAAAGTTAAGTGTGCCACAAGACCTTTGCATATACCATTCCCCCTGCCTGGAACAATCTGACTTGCTTCTTGCCAGTTAAGAGTTAAAGTTCTGCTGGGCACCCATGACTCATGCCTGTAATTCCAACTACTTGGGAGGCAGAGATCAGGAGGATCAAGGCTTGAAGCCAGCCAGGGCAAAGAGTTTGAGAGATCCTATCTTGAAAATACCCAACACAAAAAAGGGCTAGCAGAATGACTCAAGTGGTAGAGCACCTGCCTAGCAAGTGAGAAGCCCTGAGTTCAAACCCTAGTATCACCAAAATACATACAGACATACAGACAAACATAAGAGTTAAAGCTCCTCTTTTAGTTATTGGCTCAGTTATTCCTCCTACCAAGAAGTCTTGCAGGACTGCTTTGAATAGTTTCCCCTGTAATACCTTCTCATAGACCAGTCTATTTAGAGCATGTTGTCACTACAGCAATCTTACATTCATTGATGAGATTTGATAAGCATCTCTCTCCCCACTAAGTAAGAAGCTCTATGAGGGCGGTGCCTGCTGGTACCCGCTTAAGCCCTTTACTCATGGCTGGATGCCTGGTAGACTCAGTAAATTAAATACTTGTTGCATGAGTCAGCCCACCTGGTTTGCTGCTAGTTGGAGTCCTTTGCAGAGTTGACGGCAATGTTCCATTTGACCACCAGAGGGAGGAACGGGGCTCTTCTCTGCCTCAGGTTAGGGACAAGACCAACTGGAGAGTCCCCTTCCTCAGGTCAGTGTATGATGATTTCAAGAACCCCCTTTTGTGCCAGAAAACGGACATTACAGAGGCTGCCTTGGGGGTGCTGAGGCAGAGTCAGGTGAAGACAGTGTGGATAGTGGGCCGGCGTGGACCCCTACAAGTGGCCTTCACCATTAAGGTACTAGGGTACTGGGGCTGAGGGGGGCAGTCGGGGTCCCCTGTGTGGGGACAGAGCCCCTGGGAGTGGCTGCTGTCTGGGATGGAACCTGGGGAGCAGGCATGGCCCCAGGAGCCCTGTGCCTTCCATGGTAGTGTTTCCTTCCTGGGCTGGACTTGGGTGGACTTAGGGGTGGACAGTGTTCTGGTCCTGACCTCCTCCCTCACTCCCCACCCCTCACTGTCAAGGAGCTTCGGGAGATGATTCAGTTACCAGGAACCCGTCCTATTTTGGATCCTGCAGATTTCTTGGGCCTCCAGGACAGAATCAAGGGTGAGGGGCCCAGCCTGGCCCCCAGCTCACCAGGGAGGGGTGGCCTAGGTCAAAGAAGGCCTGGGGTGGGCTCGTGGGCTGGGACAGCCTTGAGATGTTCTGTGTTGTTGACAGAGATCCCCCGTCCAAGGAGGCGACTGACAGAACTGATGCTTCGAACAGCCACAGAGAAGCCAGGGGTGGAGGAGGCTGCCCGCCAGAAGCTGGCTTCCCATGCCTGGGGCCTCCGCTTTTTCCGAAGTCCCCAGCAGGTGCTACCCTCACCAGATGGGCAGCGGGTAGCAGGCATCCGCCTGGCGATCACCAGACTGGAAGTAAGTATCATGTTACCCAAGGGTACCCCCCCTTGCCAAGGCCTTCCCCAGCCTAGTGCTGCCCCTATACTCTTCCCAACAGGATGTTGGTGAGGCCACCCGGGCAGTGCCCACAGGAGACACGGAAGACCTCCCCTGTGGACTTGTGCTGAGCAGTGTTGGGTATAAGAGCCACCCCATCGATCCCAGTGTGCCCTTTGACCCCAAACTTGGGATCCTCCCCAATACAGAAGGCCGGGTTGTGGGTGTGCCAGGTGAGAGGGAATGAGAAAGCTGGGCACCTAATTATGGTGGGAGGCTGGTGTCCTTGGGGCCACAGATACTGAGAAACTGCTCTGAGGCAGGCCCTGTCCCAGTACCCAGCCTGCCTCCTTTCTGGCCCTAGGGAGAGTCCCCAGGCTAGCTGGGACGTAGGACATACATGTAGTCATTAAGTCACTGAATAGATATTTACCAAGGCCTGCTGTGGGCTAGATCCTGTGCTCAGTGCTGGAATGGGAGATGAGGCAGCCACTGTCCTCAGGCACCTGTTGAGCTGACTACCCATGTGCCTTTATTCAGTAAATGTTCTGGAAATGAGCAAGCCCTAGCTTCTAGCTTCAGGGAGCTCCCTTGTCTACAGGGAGACTGAGGTGTAAGGGGGCTGGCATGGCAAAATAGGCTGAGAAGAATCCAGGGTGGTGGACCGGTAGCCATAATGGGCCCAGCTGATGGGGTCTGCTGGGAGACTTGTGGTGTTTGTCTGAATATGCAGTCTTGCCAGTGTCCAGCCACCTCCCCTCCCTCTGTTGTTCCTCTTAGGCCTCTACTGCAGCGGTTGGGTGAAGAGGGGGCCCACAGGCGTCATCGCCACGACTATGACCGACAGCTTCCTCACTGGTCAGGTGATGCTGCAGGACCTGAAGGCCGGGCTGCTGCCTTCTGGCCTCCGGCCTGGCTTCCCAGCCATCCAGGCCCTGCTCAGGAGCCGAGGTCTGGGCCCCAAAGCTGAGATCCTGGGGGTGGGATGAGTGAACCCACACTTTGGGGGAGGGCATGAAGGAGGAGGTGGCAGCATTAACTTGTTTCTCTCTGCTTTAGGGATCCGGCCAGTCTCCTTCTCAGACTGGGAGAAGCTGGATGCTGAGGAGGTGTCTCGAGGCCAGGGTGCTGGGAAACCGAGGGAAAAGCTGGTGGATCCACAAGAGATGCTTCAGCTGCTGGGGCACTGAGCCTGGATCCCAGCCCACGTTGTCATAGAAGGGAAGAGTGCCACGCAGGAACTCCATGCTCCAGCCACAGTGCTGCCTGCCTTGGCCTGGGGACTTGGCTGCTGCTCTTTTTCAGGGTATCTGAGCACCGCCTTCTGCAAGGTTGCCCAAGATGGAACCTTAAGTTAGGGATGGAGGATGACTGCCCTCCCCCCTCCCACCTCTCTCCTGCTGGACTTTGGGGGAGGCTATTAAGTGGGGAACATGCTGGAAATAAAACAGCTGAAACCAAGGGCCACAGTTGAACGGTTATTTCTTTGGGGGCCCAGGGTCACCTTCTGTCTCCAACTTGCCTGTGGTCACCAGATGGCGCTGTGGAAACTGCTTCCTGCTCAGGGGCCACTGAGAGGGATTAGGGGATAGTTGGTGGTCAGGCCTGGCATGTACCCACCGCTCCTTGTCTTGGCTGTGTTGTTGTGGCCTGCCCGTCTTCTGCCCTCACTACGGAGTGGACTCGGTTGCCTGCCCTGCTTGTGGCTCTGCCTGGTCCCCTCCTGGTTGTAGCTCAAACAGTGAGAAGGGAAGAGGAAAAGGTGGGGGCAGGGGACCGGACAGCAGCTTGGCGAGCAGGTCTGGCCGGGCAGGTCTGGTCTGAATCCTTAACCTCTGGGTACTCCCGGTGCCCCGGCTTTCCTGTTTCCTTCAACCCCCAAGCCTTTAAAAAAATAGTACCTCGACACATTGCAGTTTCCAGCCAAAACCCCTAAGTCTTTAAAAAATAGTTCCTCGATCTGTTGCAGACACTCTTTTATAGCAGCCCGTAGTTGCTAGTGTCACTTTAAACTGTCGAACTTCACTGGCCCAAGGTCACACTAGCGAACTGAGGACTCGAACCCTGGGCTCCAAGAAAGCTGGTGTTTTCTCTGTGGCTGCTCTTGCCTCTGAGCGTCGGGTCAGGGAACCGGGTCCTGGGGAGGGGGGCAAGGATCCGAGCACCAGCTCGCGGACTGGCAGGGAGGGCCTAGGGGACCCTGGGGGGCGCGGGCGGCCGGCCGGGGCGGGGCGGGGCGGAGGCGGCGGGCGGGTGACAGTGCTCAGCCACAGTCGACTGGCCGGCGCGCCCGGGGAGCGGGAGGCGCGCAGCCAGCGCGGGACGAGCCCGGTGCCCAGCAGGTAGTGAGTCGGCCGCGGGGGCGGGCGGGCTGCAGCCCCCAGGCCGCGCCGTGGGCACTGACCCGCCGCGCCCGGCTCAGGCGCCCGCCGAGCTAGGAGCCAGCGCGCCAGCGCGCCGGGGCTGAGGCGCCGGGACAGGCATCGCGCGGGAGGCGGCCGGCGCAGGCTCCGGACGCGGGCGCAGCGCCCCTTCCTCCCGGTGAGTGGCG